CCACCCCAGGCAAGCCCCCCCCCACCCCAGTGTCTGTGTCCATTGGTTATGCTAATATGCATGCATACAAGTCCTTTGGTTGCTCTCTAACTGCCTCCCACACACACACACACACACACACACACACACACCTCCCCTGCCATTTGTCTCAGGATATATTTTTGATCATCAAATTATGTGATCATTATATCCCACATATGAATGAGATCATGTGATATTTATCTTTCTCTGACTGGCTTCTTTCGCTTAGCATAATGCTCTCCAGTTCCATCCATGCTGTTGCCCTCTTTTTTATAGTGGAGTAATCTTCTATTGTGTAGATGTACCACACAGAAAGAATTTTTTTTTACTCCCAGCCAGCTTTCCTTCCCAGGGTACTCATACAAGACTGCCTGCACCCCCTGTAGTTATGTCACAGAGAAGACCCATTCCCACCGGGGCATCCTTACCTAGCCACATGGAAGTTATGACCACCCTCAGAAGACCGGACACCAACATGTTCAAGTTCTCCCACTTGGTGGAAGATATCTTCTTTTTCTTCTTCAGTGTTCGGGCTCTGCAAGGTGAGGTGACTGACAGATGGAGAGAAGAAATGCTGAGCTGTGTGCTGCTGCTGCCCCAGAACAGGAAACAGGGTTTCTGGTGCAGACGTTGCTGTGGGTCACGTCAAACTTTCTATGTACTGGCTGAGAGCCTCACCCAACCCACACTTCCTTTTGCATTAACCAACTCTTTTTAAATTTTATTTTTCAATTACCCTTATGTCCAATATTATTTTTTTTTACAGTGGTACCTTGACCTACAAGTTTAATTTGTTCCGTGACGGAGCTTGTAACTCAAATTACTCGTATATCAAATCGATTTTGAACAAGTGAGACACGTGATGCTGGGCTGATGTGGCGTTCACTGTGACGTTTGCTGCGCCAACTAGCGGTGGAGTATCTGAAGCTGGCTTGTAACCCGAATTTTAGCTCACAACTCAAGCTGGCTCATACCACGAAAAACTCGTTAGTCGGGACACTCATAAGTCAAGGCCCCCCTGTATTTCAGGTGTATAGTATAATGGTTAGACAATCATATACATTACAAAGTGTTCTCTCCGATATTTTCAGTACCAACCTGATACCATACCTAGTTATTACAATATTTTTTACTATATTCTTTATGCTGTACTTTACATCCTAATGACTATTTTATAACTATCAATTTGTACTTCTTAATACCTTTTCTTTTTTTTTTCACCCAGGTCTGCAACCACCCTCCTCTCTGGCACATTCCTAGGTTGCAGGTTTGATCCAAGTTGGGGTCCCTACGAAGGCAACTGGTTGATGTTTCTCTCTTACATCTATGTTTCAATATCTATCTATCTATCTATCTATCTATCTATCTATCTATCTATCTTCCTATCTATCTCTCCCTTTCTCTCAAATCAATAAAAACATATCCCGGGATGAGCATTTAAATTTTGTTTTAAATATTGAGATCAAAATAGTTAAATGGGTATTTTCTACCATCTCCTTACCCCCTCCCCCACCCCCATCCCCCCCAAAAAAGAATTTTTACAATTATATACTAAGTAGAGTGCCTGTGCAGAAGTTCAGGAATCTAGCACAGAAGTTACACTATGTGAGAAGTACATTCTGAGAACAAAAATATCTGAGATTGGTAGCATGTTAAAGGGTAAGAGGACCGACTTTATTTTTCACTAGTCACGCCTTCCCCTGTGCAGCATGGTGCAGTGCCAATAGAAATCTTCTGGGCCTTTGATTTTTCCCGTAGGGGAAAGTGAGGGTATGTGAGTGAGCCCTGGCTCTCCCAACTTAACCAGAAGCTGCCAAAGAGACTCGCCTCATTCTTGCCCCATCCATATACTGAGGTGAGCTGCCCAGCTGGGAAGTGGGAAGCACCTGGAACAGCATCCAGGGCTCTCAGTGGGCATTAAAGGCAAACATATTCCATTAACTGCAGCACAGACAGATGACATTAGGAACCTGCCCACGAGATGTGGGGGACACCTTGCCTGCAGATTCCCACAACTGGTCCACGAGCACCCCCAGTGCTCAGTGCCTCACCCAAACACCATTCCACTTAGTGGCCAGCTACCAGTGCACACAGGAGGCCAACAAGAGTCAGCCTCTACAGATGGCTAGTTTGTGGGCTCAGAAATGGTCCCACTCTGCGGGACTGGGTGAAACCACACAAATTTGAGCAGTCAGCACCACCCGAGGGAAAGCAAACAATAGGGAAGCTGTCAACACACACTCTGGTTTTGCAGGATGAAAAAAAAAGCCATAATGTTTGTAGTGAATTGTCCAGAAAAGGGAGGAAACCGATACTGCAGTGAAGGTTTAAAGTTTGAATGAGCCTAAGTATGTACTGACTCTGCATCTCTGACCAGAGGATTTCTTCTTTCATAAAACAATTCCCATGTATATGTGATAAAAACAGTTAAGTCCATAATAATTGTGCCCTCTCTCCCTCACTTCTAATTTGGTTTAGGAAGAATAAACCAATAAAACAAAAGCCATGCATCATGCATCCCCTCTCCCTGTCTTCCAGGAGATGTACTAATCAACAGGCACCTTGCTTTTACTGGACTGGAGCTCGTGGTTATAGTGAGGAAATAATGGAAGTCATTGAGGTGTTGGGCTACAATACTGGCCTTTCTTGTTCACATGTTATGTATCTGATTTAATGTGATGCATTTCCTTACAAGAAAAAACAATTAATTACTGACAACCATAACTCTCCCAAGAGCAATTATCTCACCATACCAGTCACCAATTCTTTAGGGAGAATATAAAAGATCTTGAAAATAACCTACCCAGGACCACAGGTGGGATAATTGGGAAATTAATGATTCATGCAACATTTTTCATTCCATTTATTTATCCATAACATTAAAAGAATTGACTTTTTTTAAAAAAAAGGTTGTGGTTAGTAAAGTTTATTCAGTCGAAACATGAAGATGAGGCAAGAATATTTGTCACAAGCTATCTGTAAATTATCCATTCATCTAATGCCTTTGTGCACTCCATTAATAATACTAAGGTAGCTAATAAATACTTATAAAAACGTTCCTATATAGCCCAAAAAGAAAGATTTGAATCATAATGGTAGCAAAAAAATTCAAGTCAAGGAATAGATTTAATTGTCTTAAAATAACAGAGTTTTATTGAGAAAGACATGCATAGGTAAAAAGAAACTATATTTCTTACATAATGAAATAATCAAATACACAAATTAAGAGTTTTGATCCTCACAAATCAATATATAAATTTAATTCTAACACAAAGCTTAAATTAAAAATATGAGTAAATACCAGAACTCACCTTTCTATCTTTAACAAACATCTACTGATTATCAACTATGTGGGAAAGTTAGTGCTGAGTACTGAGGCTATAGCAGTGAATAATATACAACACAATCTTTTAAATTCTATGAGAGTATAAATGTGAACAAATATGTACAGAATTTGGGAAAAGAGAATTGCTTTGTGTGTTTAATAAGAAGCTCACTTTCTAAAATCATGTCCTACCCTTATTTACTCAAACACAAATAGTACATACCATCACCGAGCTCTGAAAAAAAGTCACATTTTTTTTTAACAATAAAGTGGTCAGAACACATAGAAAAAAAACTGTCACATTTTGCCACAAATGTAGAAGAAAATTAATATAAATCTGTAGTTTACTAAAATTTCTCACAGAACTATCAAATAGCAAGTGTTGCAGGAGAAGGCTTGGTGAAATGGAAATGCTCAATTCAAGATATACAATTCAGTGAAAAATCATGATTCTAATTACACCAAAAATTGATGGAAATGTAACCTGACTGTTAGCAATATTATCTGCTTACATAATTATCAAGTTCACATTTTTTCTATTACACATATTTTCTATAATTGGCATGTAATAATTTTATTCAGAAAAAATAATAAATGCTGTTTTCAAAACACAATAATTAAAATACCAATCATAATAAACATTGTGATATTGATGCTAAGGGGATTTTTATAGGACAGGAGTTTGAATAGCAAATATAAAGTCATCTTTAAAGCCTAAGTTTCAAAATTAAACACTACTAACTCACTTCAAGAATCCATTAAGCAACAAACATCCAACCATATGTTCTAAACCTTTCTGGGTCATCATGAAACTGACCTCTTATTAAGTGTTTTTATACCAACACACTATTTTCCACTTGCAAATAAGCGCAATAAGACTGCTGTGCTTGCAGGTCTGTCCCAGGCAGAGGGGGCTGCCCCACTCGCAGGTTTGTGTACAGGATCCAGGTGCCTGGGAAGCAATGTGCACTCGCTGCACAGAAGTAGATGGCAGAGTCTCCAGGTTGGGTGGCTGCCATGTGCAAGGAGAAATGTTTGGCCGCCTTATTCAATAAAACAGTGAGTCCTCCAGCTTGGTTTTTGTCCTTATTTGAACGAATGTCTATAATGAACTGGGGACCTTTTCCAGGTTCTTGCTTATACCAAGGAAAGTAGTCAGAGCGACTGTCTGAATAAGAACAGTTGATAACAGCAGTGTTTCCCTCCTGGACATTCAGGATAGAAGGATGCTGATCCACTTTCTCTCCATGGCTGACCCCTATGCAGAAAGAAAGAGTCAGAGAAAGGAGAACAGTGACCAGATCATTAAACTTTATCATTTTCTTTTTATCCAGTAACTAAGGAATCCTGAATAAAGCCAGTGTTGCTTCTAAAGAATATCCACTAATATATTGTTTCCCATAAACCCTCAACTCACGGTCCAGCTGCAGCCACAAGAACATGAACAAAGCTCCAATGGACGTCTTCATCATTCTTCCTACTCAGGATCAATTGTGGACCTGCAATCAGAGCCAGGGGAGCTACTGCTGTTATCAAGTTACCCCTCCTTTCCTCTGACCATCATAGGGGTTTCTCACATTCTACCCAGCCAATAAGAAAAAGACTGTGCTTCTGCCAAAGCCTGTTCATTCAGAATCCACTAAAATGCACCCTCCACATGTTGTGCATCAGCAGAGGTGCACTGCCATCTTGTGGTTACCGTCACAACTACTGAACTTGCTGTTAAATATTCTCTTACCCTGTGCCTCTGAGGGACTCAAAACAGCAATTGGTCAAATAAATTAAGTCAGATCAGAGAATATGGAAGAATAAAGAGATCAAGGTTTGTAACTCTGCACACTACTGAGTCATTGTTAATATTTCGGAAAGAGTCAGATGCTGTTGGTATTTATTCTATGATGTCCTTGGTTTACATGTTTGAAATCTGGAAATGCAATGGTTCACTCTCTTAAGAAAAAAAAATATATAAAATCTTCCTCTTCAAGCTATCATACATAAACACAATGGAATACTACTCAGTCTTAAAAATGAATTAAATCTTACTTTTATGACAGTATGGATGGACCTAGAGTGTATAATGCTAAGTGAAATAAATCAGACAGAGAAAGACCAATACTATATGATTTCACTTACATGTAAAATATAAAGAACAAGAGAAACAAACAAAATAGAAACGGACCCATAGGTTCAGACAGACAGTTGTAGGCTAGGTGAAAAGGGTGAAGGGCTTAAGCAGTACAAAATAGTAGTTACAGATTAGTCACAAAGATGTAGATTACAGCATAGGGAATATAGTCAATAATATCGTGATAACTATGTATGGGACCAGGTGGGCCCTTGAAGCAGCACGAGGACGACTCTATCTTATCTAATATAAGACAAAAGGGTAATTAACCATACCTCAGCTATGCTTCCCATTGGCTAATCAGCGAGATATGCAAATTAACTGCCAACAAAGATGGCGGCCGGCAGCCACGCAGCTGAAGCAAGCAGAAGGTTTGCTTGCTCCAGTGATGGAGGAAGCCAAGGTTCCCCGCCTGCGGCAGCCCAGCTCTAAGCTCCGAAAGCAACAGCTCCAAAAGCAACAAAGTTTCAATTATAGAAGCTAAACAAACCCCAGATACCTGCTTTCAGCCAGCCGCGGCCTCAGAGCTGGGAGTGCCAGTTACAGCAACAGAGTTTCAATGATAGAAGATAAATAAATCCAAGAATAAAAAAAAAAAGAAAAAAAGGAGAGGCTGGGAGCTCCAGTCACAGGCCAGCCTGAAAACAGCCCTCAACCCCTCACCCAGACTGGCCAGGCACCCCAGTGGGAACCCCCACCCTGAAGAGGGTGTGGCCAGCCTGAAAACAGCCATCAGCCCCTCATCCAGGCTGGCCAGGCACCCCAGTGGGGACCCCCACCCTGAAGGGGGTGTGACCACACACTGACCACCAGGGGGCAGACGCTCAATGCAGAAGCTGCCCTCTGGTGGTCAGTGCGCTCCCACATGGGGGAGCTCTGCTCAGCCACAAGCCAGACTGATGGCAGACAGTACAGCGGTGGTGATGGGGGCCTCTCCTGCCTGCTCAGCAGCGCTAAGGATGTCTGACTGCAGCTTAGATCGGCTCCCCGTTGGCAAGTGGCCATCCCCCCGAGGGCTGCCGGGCTGCCAGAGGGATGTCTGATTGCCAGCTTAGGCCAAATCACCCTGGGGAGCAGGACTAAGCCAGCAGGTGGCCATCCCCCAAGGGATCCCAGACTGTGAGAGGGCACAGGCCGGGCTGAGGGACCCACCCCCTCGAGTGCACAAATTTTTGTGCACCGGGCCTCTAGTAAAGTATATAATTTTCTAAGCCCTTTACTATACTTCTGAAACTAATACAAAATAATATTGAATGTAATCTGTAATTGAAAATTTTTTAAAATATAATATCCCTTCCTTTTTTAGCTAAACCTGCCATCCTCATTTGTCTGTTATGAAGAAAAGCTCTTTCTAAAAGGAATATGTAAGGAAAAGATTAAAGTTTGAGGGAGAAGATCATTGGATATTTCAAATACCTTCTATCTCAAAGCCTGCTCCTCTAAGCTGATTTTGCCTGTGACCTTGCTATTCCCAGAGAACTGATAGTACCAAAGTGAATATTAGGAATCTTTCCTCAATTAAGATGGCTGTGATTAAAAGTAAAGGATTGAATCTCCATGACAAGGGAGCAGGGGATATCTTCCATGAGTTATTAATATTTCAACCATAGGAAACAATTTGACCCACAGGTTGGCTTGAATTGCAGTGAGAAATCTGACACACAGTAAGAAACCTATTCTAGGCCCTGGCTGGGTAGCTCAGTTGGTTAGAGCTTTACCCCAATACACCAAGATTGTGAGTCTGACCCCTGGGCAGGGCACATGCAAAAACCAACCAATGAATGCATAACAACAAATCAATGTTTCTCTCTATCTCTCAAATCAATAAATAAATTTTAAAAGAAATCTATTTTAATGCTGTGTATCTTATATTCCTCAAAGTATTTTAAAAAAGTACAGCTTCTGAGAAAATAAAACTACATGTAAGTTTATTCCTGGCATGGTTTAATTTTCTTATTAAGATGGATAACATGTCCTAAAATACAATTACTAACTCATATCCTTAGTAGAATTTTATCTAGAGTATAATCCAATTCTCCTGGCATGGATCCCGACTCTCTGGCCATCGCTGTCTCAGATTCCACACTCTATCATTTTTCTCACAAATCCCACTACACTGATCTTGCCCTAAGACATTGATAAAGTCCTTCAGTCCTGTGAGTTTCCAGAATTATCTTTCTCTGCCAAAAACCCTTTCTTACCCACTTTTACTTCTCGATTGCCTGTGTCTGGTAAGGAAATAGTACAAACAGGAACTGACCTAAATGGTCCCTGGGAAACCAAGACTACCTCACATCCAGAAGTGGGAGTTCCTTTCTGATTATTTGAACTCACTGTTCTTCTGGGATTACAAAGAATAAATCTTATCTTTTTTCCACCTCTCACACCCTTAAAGATTTAAAAACAGCTCTGGTAAAGAATATCAACTGAATATGTAAATATACATGTATCTGTAAAATGTGTGTTTTTAAGTATGTAAAACTTCTGGATTTTGAGGGTCTTTTATTCTCCATAAGAAAAAATTCCTCAAATCTTTCTCTGGGCACATTTCCTTCTTTTTGGAGACGTAAAGTCAGTATTTGTCCTTTTGATAGTTATGGCATACAGATCTGATGGTGATGGTGTAAATATGACCATTCATATGAAAACCAGTGTTTTATATGTTAACTATAGCACAGATATATCCAGGCCTTGGACAAAATTGTCAGCTCCATGATTAATCCATAAAATATTGTTTTACCCATCACCAAAATGTTGGCCTGAAAAACCTTTACCTGGCACCTTCATGGACTGCCGCCTACCTGAGTTTTCAAATTCCAACTATCATTTTTACTGACAATATGAGTTGTGTTCATTATACTAATATTCTGTCTTCAAAGAATGTCCACTTGGGGTAACAAATATATGAACTACTTCCAGGGAAGTCCTTAGAAATACATCTGTGTGTGTTGAGGATGACACCATCACCTTTGGCTTCCTCTTACAGAAGCCAGTGATTGATGGTCTGGCTACTGATACAGTAATAGTGGCTCAACTTTAGTCTCCTTTCCTGACCAATGTATCAAACATCTATCTATTTATATAAAAACCCTGGGTGTAACATCACGACCGAGGCTCGACCAACCAGAAGGAAGTCAGTCCTGCAGGGTTGTCTTGGCAATGGCTGTGCCCTCCCCTAGCTGTTTCCTGGAGCTGTTTCCAGTAAGGGCGAGGTTTGAGGCAGGAATGGCCCTCAGAGCATGGACCCACAGTCCTGGGTTGCTTTGCGGAGGACTGCACCCTCCCCGAGCTGTTTCTCGTGAGGTCTGAGGGAAGAACCCACCCCCAGAGCGCCAAGAGATCCCAGCAGCAGTCAGTCCTGGGTTGCTGAGGCGGAGGCCACAGCCTGGTAGAACTCTGGGTCTGGCCCAACAGGGGGCTTGGCCAGCCTTCAAACCAGACCTTGACAATAGGAAGGAGGGAGCCCCATTCCTCACAGAATCCACTGTTGGAGAGCTTGCTGTGGCCTGCCAGCCATGAACCCGTTCACCTTCACCCTGGACCCTGACGGGAGGGAGGAGGAAGCCCCATTCCTCACAGAATCGAAAGGTGGCCAGCTTGCTGTCAGGGGCCTGCCAGCTAGGAATCCTATTCACCTGCATATCTGTATAAAGTTTTAATACATTATATTAGAGGTCGTGGTGGTACTGTTTTACCCACAGCGTCTACAGGAATTGCTGCAAATTTACTTCTCACTGGAACCATCTTTCATTCCCAATATAAATTACCGATTCCATTAAATGAAACTTCAATTTCTAGACTCGATATAAACAGTGAAGTTTATTGAAAAGGTCCAACTTCTCATTGTTGATGAATGCACCATGGCATTCAGTCATGCTATAAACGCCAGAGACAGATTACTAAGAAAAATTATGAGTCTGAATGCTGTATTTGGTGGGAAAGTTCTCCTTCTTGGAGGGGATTTTATCTATTTTAATGCTGTGTGTCTTATATTCCACAAAGTACTAAAAAAGTACAGCTTCTGAGAAAATAAAACTACATGTAAGTTTATTCCTGGCATGGTTTAATTTTCTTATTAAGATGGATAACATGTCCTAAAATACAATTACTAACTCATATCCTTAGTAGAATTTTATCTAGAGTATAATCCAATTCTCCTGGCATGGATCCCGACTCTCTGGCCATCGCTGTCTCAGATTCCACACTCTATCATTTTTCTCACAAATCCCACTACACTGTTCTTGCCCTAAGACATTGATAAAGTCCTTCAGTCCTGTGAGTTTCCAGAATTATCTTTCTCTGCCAAAAACCCTTTCTTACCCACTTTTACTTCTCGATTGCCTGTGTCTGGTAAGGAAATAGTAC